ATTCTTCTCTTTAATATATCTTCAATATTGTTTAGCAAGTGGATTAATATTAAGTGGATTCTACTCTTCAATATATATCTTCAATATTGTTTAGCAAATTGATTAATATTGAGTGTATTCTACTCTTTAATATATCTTCAATATTGTTTAGCAAGTTGATTAATATTGAGTGGATTCTTCTCTTTAATATATATCTTCAATATTGTTTAGCAAGTTGATTAATATTAAGTGGATTCTACTCTTCAATATATATCTTCAATATTGTTTGGCAAATTGATTAATATTGAGTGTATTTTTCTCTTTAATATATATCTTCAATATTGTTTAGCAAGTGGATTAATATTGAGTGGATTCTTCTCTTCAATGCATCTCCAATATTGTTTAGCAAGTAGATTAATATTGAGTGAATTCTACTCTTCAATATATCTTTAATATTGTTTAGCAAGTGGATTAATATTGAGTGTATTCTTCTCTTTGATATATCTTCAATATTGTTTAGCAAGTAGATTAATATTAAGTGGATTCTACTCTTTAATATATCTTCAATATTGTTTAGCAAGTGGATTAATATTGAGTGAATTCTACTCTTTAATATATCTGCAATATTGTTTAGCAAGTGGATTAATATTGAGTGGATTCTAGTCTTTAATATATCTTCAATATTGTTTAGCAAGTGGATTAATATTGAGTGTATTCTTCTCTTTAATATATCTTCAATATTGTTTAGCAAATTGATTAATATTGAGTGTATTCTTCTCTTTAATATATCTTCAATATTGTTTAGCAAGTGGATTAATATTGAGTGGATTCTTCTCTTTAATAGATCTTTAATATTGTTTAGCAAGTGGATTAATATTGAGTGGATTCTTTTCGTCAATATATCTTCAATATATCTGTCTGGGTGTACTGCATGGTCTAGGAGCAGGATTCATTTTTACTGCAGGTGAGTTGGTTTAATTTTTTAAAAAATTTTCATTAAAAAACAGAAAACCTAAAAAAAAACTTTATTCATGATTATAAATCTTCCTGTGAGCATGAGACTGCGGTGTAAAATCCACACATCATTTCACTTAATAATAAGGAATTTTCCTTAAAACAAAATCAGAAACACAATTGTTTTATTTTGTTGGCGTCTTCTTATTCCTTAGATTAATGTTGGTAATTCTAGTTTCTTTGTGTTTCCTTCTATGCTCATGCACTCGTCTGTGCGCACTTTGACGTCTCTTATTGACCGCAAGGTGTCTCTGCTCTCAGTATTTCAAGGAAATTTATATAAAAAAATATTATGAAATATGGTTTTTTTCTTCCCAGACTGTAGGGTATAAAGCACTTTTATTCACTTTGTCTTATTTCCATTCAAGGCTCTATATGAGGCCATTGATGATTTAATTCATTTAATAACATTAACATTTAAATGATAATGTTAATTGATATTTAAACATTTGCATAATACAGGTACATATGATATGATTTATAAACTTATTTGATGTTAATAGTTACATATCAATGTTAACAATATGTATGCGTGTAGTAAATACCCTACTCCATAAAAGTTTCTCTAACACGTATCTATGCTAGGTACAAAGCTCAGATTCTCTTGACTATCAATGTCTAAACCAAGACACGATCCATCCGGCTACTATCCCGTGAACTATCAACGCCACTACCACTGGGCCTGATTTCGTAAACTATCAATGTCTTAACTAGGTCATGATCTTCAACGACTCAACTAGGACAGGATCTAGTAATATCAACGCCACTACCAATGGACGTGATCAGCTATCATTGTCCTCCTTGGATACAAGCGCACGCTTATCAACGCCTCAACTAGGACACGATCTAGTAATATCAACGCCACTACCAATGGGCGTGATCAGCTATCAATATCCTATTATATGCCTGTGGAAAATCTATCGCCATCAGCTCTGTTAGCTTATCTAATGCAAATCCTGCCTGACCTCCTGTGCTTACAATCCCATACCATGCATGAACCATGATCCAAACCTCCGGCTCTTTATCCTGGTTCAATTCTTCTCCGTACAAAAACAGTGAATAAGGCAAAGAAGGATCATCCAGTATTAATTGGTTGTACAGTTTACTGATATCCGAGCTCCATATATGCTCCGTGCATCTGCACCTGATCATGATGGAGAAGATTGATCCCATTCTGTTCTCACCCTTCGCCAGTATCTCATTGAACTTTGTCATTGTAGGATCCACCACCATCCTGACAGGTGTTGTTACCGAATCCATTTTCATCACCAGCCTCCATGGATTATAATGTTGAAAAGGAGCCATCTCCACAACCTTTCTCTTTACTGGATCCAGCCTTTCCAATTTAAGAGAGGATCAGATAAATGCAGTGGAGGAAGTGTTGAAGATGGGAGGGTTTTCTCTAAAGTTTATTGTGAAGAGTGGAGAAAAACCTTCAGAGAATGCGAGTCCTGACGGAGAATACATGAAGTTGTTAGGTTATAAATGGGACCCTGAGAAAGATGAATTATCACCGGGATTGGGAGAACTAAACCTGAACAAAAAGAGTAGGGGTGAAAGGAAACCAAACCTGGAACCTATAAGATCGATAATCGATGCGGAGAAACTCTTATCTGGTGTAAAACTAACCCGGAGCTTGATAGTGGGTAAAATTTCTGAATTCTTTGATCCATGCGGGTTTTTTGAACCTGTGAAGCTACAGATGAAGTTATTAACCGTGACACTGAAAGGGAAAGATTGGGAGGAAGTTCTACCTGAGCAAGACCAGGCCCAATGGAGAGAGATCTTAAAAGGATATGTAGAGCCCAATGTAACAATACCCAGGTTTTCGTTGCCAGGATCAGGGAGATCATCCTCTAAAATAAGGTTAATATGTTTAGCAGATGCAGCTGAGTTTGCAGGTGGGGCAGCAGTGTATGCAGGCAAAGAATTAAGCCCGGGGATTTGGTCATGTTCTTTACTTGCAGCATAATCTAAGATGATGAAGGAAACC